AGGGCTGAAGTGTTGATATGGAAATAATCAGGCAAACGACTACATAATCCTCACTGTGGTGACCTGTTGAACAAAGGCCCAAAACAAAATGCCTATGGCATTCATCTGCTTAATGACCGTGTAAACACCTTCAAGACCAGCTCAGGTCATCAGATGTCAGAAACCATTATACAGCTGAAACCAGTTCAGCTTAATCGATGTCAGTAACATTAACAATGTAAGAGAATTATATAATGAGGGTTTTAAGTTGCTGTGATGCAGCAAACAGTCTTTTATTAAGTCATAGTGTCTATTCCAAAATACTGAGTTGTAGTTTGAGAGTCAGTTTAGCTTCAGTCAACATGTAACCTGCGCGAAACCTACATTTCAATATACCCAGCATACCCCCTATGGTTGGAAATGCCCAGACTCTCATACATTTTTTTTTTTTTCTTTGTCGCTTCGTACTCAGCTTTAAATGTCCCAAATTTAAAAACACCTGATTTGTTGGCACAAATATGGCTGGACATATAAAAAAACTCTCATTAAAAACACCCGCTTTTGTCACCACAAACGCAGCTGGACATGTACTGAACACTAAAGAATATACGCTTGTGTCGTGACAAACTCACCCCAACATATCCCAAACGCTTGTTAAAAAGTACTCACTTTTGTCGCTACAAACACAGCTGGACATGTTGATGTCTGACCTATCGAACTCTCATGAAACAACTACTGCTTCTGTTGGTCTTGAACAGTGGTGTGCTGCTTGACAGCCATTTTGCTGAGGTGTCACGTCGTCCACCATCCCCTCCTCTTCCAAACTCGTACACGTAATCTGAACCACATCATAAGTATGAAACATACAAACCTAACATATCTGTGGTTTGCAGAGACGTACAATGCCAACATTTTATTCTAGCATTGGGCTGTTGTGCACTTTGTGTTGCTTTTTAACTCTATTCCTTAAAGTAATGTATCAGAAGGAAAACTTCTACTCTTGTTTCTGCCACCAGTGTTCATCTGAAACAGGCCTTATAGAAGATTTCAACTCCCAACACAGGCTCTTTTGTTTCCAGGTTCCAGTTGTCAAAAAAGAAAAAAAACAAAAAAAAAACTCAACGTCAATATGACCTTAAAAAGTCAAATTTAGAAGAATGCATGTACATTGTCAGTACCATTGGAGTGACTATGTTCAAATGCTAAAGTGACAGGCGTCAGTGTCTGCAGCTGCTGCCGTAATCGTCTTTGAGGAAGACAAATGGGCCAACATGTGAAGGAGGCCAATCTACGTGTGACAAGTGGGTTAGATACGTACACTTACTGGTGACAGCACATCATGGAGGGCAGAATAGAGGGAAAGACAGGAGCAGTGAAGGAATAAAAAGAGCTGGAATAAAGAAAAGCACACACCTCTTCAGGTGGTGACAGCCCATCAGAAAGAAAATGACAGAAACAGTGGAACCACGGGAACGTAAGGTGTGAGGAACAGAAAAGGGAGGGCACATAGGGGCTTGACAAAATGGACAACTGTGTGATAGATGGAGGTTGACAGAGGTGTTGTGACCTGCCCTGCTAGGACAGATTATTGAAGATATTAACCATTTTCTTTCAGACAAGTACACAGTTATTTTTTTAAAATGCCATTCACTTTCTCTTTAATGTTATGTTTAATACAGATTCATGGAGAGTTGAAAGAGTAATAAACCGAACAAAGTGAAACACGAGTGAGAGTGAAGGAAAATGTGTGTGTGTGTGTGATTGGTTGCCAAATGTACGTGTACTTGCATAAAGGTGTGCAGCGTGTGTCCATCCTTTGATTTCGTCTGTGAATGAATCCAGGATGAATTTAATCAGCGCCAAACATGATGACTTATTGATCCTGATATTAGTAATGTTATTTTACATGTGTGTTTTGAGAATAATCAAGCTGGTCAGTGAATTGCAAAGTAGGACAAAATGAGAAACAGAGTAATAACATGGTCCCATGATCTTATTGATTATCTAAAAAGACCAATAACAGCATGGTGTGTAAGAATAAGGTGTGTGTTTACTTTATGCCTTTGATCCATGTATGACAGGGTTTGCATGTTTTACTCCATTGACCACAAATTCTGTGTACTTAAAACTACTGCTGACCATGTTCTGACCCGTCACATATGATTTTATACTGATTCCTTGCTTGAAGGTTTTGTGTTCGGCATTCAGAGCATAAATATCCTCCTGAGACCCTGTGTCCTCATATGAGGACATCACATTTTGGGTTTACTTGACCTTATACATTATTTAGCTTCACTTAGGATGCTTCACACCTGCCCTGTTTGGTTCAGTTCAGTCAAACTCAAGTTCATTTGCCCCCTCAGTGCGGTTCGTTTGGGCAGGCGTAAACACAGCAATCGCATTCAGGTGTGCACCAAAACAACCGGACCGAGAACTTGAAGAGGTGGTCTTGTGAAGCTCATTTGTGGTGAGAACGTGTTCCGACCTGGATCTGAACCAACTGCAGTCTCATGACACATTGTTTGGGTTAGGTAAAGATCAAAAAACATGCACATCCAACCGTGAAAAATTTTTTTAGGTTGCTGGATCAAAAAAGTCCTCAGACTTACGGCAAGAACATTGGAAACGCCATCTTTTATCTTTTTCAAAAACATGGTGTTTCCATTGTTCTTGCCATAAGTCTGAGGAGGAGCCTGCTGGCTCGAAATGTCACACTATGACTGAATACATTTTTCTGTGGGAGCTTTATTTGGTGTGAGGATCATCTCTTTATCTTTCACATTGTTTGGGTTAAACATGAGCATGTTACAGTCCTGGAGGATTATTAATGTGCACCTCCTCCTGTACTGCCTTAATATGCACATTCAGCACATCCAGTGCATCAAAACATTGTTTTCTAGTTGGAGCCGCGCCTCGTTTTCAAACTGTATGGTTTGACTAAAATGAACAATGACAGCAATATAGTCCACGATGAGCAGCGCTAAAATCAACCTGCGTAGGTGTCCCTCCATTGTGACATTAGAAAGTGTCACATTTATCTTGCAAGTGTACTCTTCTTCGTTTGCTTTACTTCCTGGATTTTTCACACAAGGCATTTGATCTGGTCCGCTTGTAAATGCTGCTGTGAGAACATGAACCAACTCTAGAAAACTATGCAACTTAGTCCCTGATTCAGACCAAGGCAAGACAACTCTAGGCCTGAAAGCACCCTTAGACCTGTTCTTGTTCATGGACACTTTTTTATGCCATCTAGGGGTAGTAAGATGGCAGCCATCTCTGCCAAGTCAGTCTGCAGTGGACAATGTCCAAAACCTGATCACATTTTTGGGTTGAAACTTGTTCATTTATGATTAATAACGTTTGTAGCTTGATATGGCAACAAATTTTACCAGTTTTAGCAGTTTTAGTGTTGTAATCCAAGCTTCTCTGTGGTCCCTTGTTTGTTGTGGTAAGCCAGTCCGGTTGCGCATGCATGTTAGTACACATGTGTATCCCAGTGGGTAGCTGTTACTTTGCACTGTGCTCATACAGAAAACTTATTGCCCACCCTCCAGTTCCCCCCGGTTAACACCATTAGCTCTATCAGCACTGTTGCCATTGTTTAGCTTTGTTTGTGGCGCTAAAACCATTAACCGCTGACTCAGCCACCTTCATGTTGAGAATAGAGTATGCTCTGACTTTCACATAAAGCCCCTTTAGGACAACCATTGACTTCCACTCATTTTACTTAACTGTAAAAATTGGGTCCACTCCCTCAGGTAACATATTCTATTGCTGAACAATTCATGACACCTTGCTGCCATTTCTTCTTTAAGCTTAATTAAAAGTTCTATGAATAAGTTATCATCAAGTGGTACTGCAGTTGTGAGCAGGAACTATTTTCAAAGTGACCACCGATGCGTTCAAGGACACTCAGTCGTCAGATACTTGCAGACTTCACAGCCTTTCTAATGTAAAAAAAAGAAGACAAAATTTGCATAATCCTTTTCACAGCATCAGTGTTGTATACTGTAATTTGGTTTTCTCATGTCTCTGGCTGTCAACACAATGTTTTGTGTTCATGAATGTCAGAGCATCTTCGAGAGCACCACAAAGAAAAATGTTGAAAATGGGTCTCTACTTCTGCACGACACAACCAAACAAAGGACACTCTCTGTTTGACAAAAAGTAATACAAGCAGGTTTTTCATACTTTTAGATTAGCTACAGTGTTTTCAGTATGGAGAATATGAACTGAAATCAATGGCTGCCTGGAAGAAAAGTTGCATTATTTGTTGGAAACTGCTCAGCAATCAAAGAGTTATGAGTTGTTTAGGGGCCAACACGAATGGGTTGGATTTACGCAAGTGCTATGTGGTAGGAAACCAGACTTGCTTGAGTTTCTTGAAGACGTCTCGCCTCTCATCCGAGAGCCAGCTCTGAAGGTCAAGACCCAGCTGTCCATTTACATCTTAAGGAGAAGGGACATCTCTTCGAGGACAGCAATGTTCACATCTTGTCCAGAGAAGACAGATGGTTTGAAAGAGGCATGAAAGAAGCCATTTATGTCGAACTGGAATGACTATCGTTAAACAGAAGAGGTGGCCTACAGTCTTGGCATCCCTTCCCAGACGACTTCACACCCATTCTCACCTGAACCCATCAAACCCTAACGACACACAAGATGGCCGGTTGGGTCAGTGACTCACATGTGATCTCAACGACTCTGTAAGGGTTCACACCCACACAGGATTTAAAGCCTGTGACTCCGCACCAGTCCATTAGAACTGAAGACACCTCTTGGATGAAAGGTGAAACATCTTCTAGAAACTCAAGCAAGTCCAGTTGCCTACGATATTAGCACTTATGATTACCATGACCTGGATGACTGAGAATCTTCACTGATGGGTTGGATTTACAACATCCCACAAAGAAACAACACTTTTCTGATGATTATTTAAAAATGTAACACGTGATTCTGCTCGAGGGATTTTTCCTACAAGTCACCTAAACAGTCTGTCTGTCTTTCTCTTCTCTCCACAGGAAACCAAAATCAACTGTGTCCGCCTGGCTAACAAAGGTATGAGCACCCTTCCATTGGTACTCAGCCAGCTCTTATAAACAATGTGATTTTACTTTTATGTCTGATTTGACTTCTTAGTGAAGTTCCTTCTGAAGTAAGTGTGATTAAACGACCCCCTAGAATAGTCGTACTGTGTTGCAAGTGTGTTAGATGAGGTAAACACACACACACATACACCCACTATAGAAAGAAGTGAGCCCACAACCTTTAGGCCAGGCAACCCCACATCCTAACCATGTTACCCTGCATGATTTCGTTGCATAGTGCTCTCTCTCTCCATCTCCTCTCTCCTAATCTTTCTCTTTTATTGCCCTTTCTGTCTTACATTCTCCCACCTTTTCATCCCTCCTGCTCTCTCTTTTTCCATCTCATACTGCATCCATGTTGCTCATCAGTGTATAAAGTGGAACATCAGGGCCATTACATACCGATTGACCGCCTTCATTAAACCCGATGGATGGAGGCTAAAGCGTTAGCCCCAGAACCCATTTCATCCTATTCTGTTTTGCTTTCCCCATGTCTCCCATCTTTATTTGCTGCTCATCTCGGGCAAATACACCCATTTGTGTGCCAGGCGATGTGCTTTGAAAGCTTTTCAGCTTGCTATTGATTTTCCTCACCTCATCTCTTTTTTCTATTTTATTTTTTTCATCTGCATCAAACATTGATTTGATTTTTCCACATCTCCTTTCTCTGTTCTTTTACTCTCTCGCTCTCTTATTATTTCTCGTCTGCATCAAGCATTTATTGCTCATTTGTGCACATTCTTCTCTTTTATACCATGTTTCTTTTCTTGCTCTATCCATTTCCAGGCTGTGTTTTTTATTTGAGTGGAAAGTACTGTGGGTGGAGGTCTACAGCGTGTAGACGCTGCTCTGTGTCTGTCTGCATGTGTGTGTATGCTTGGGAAAAGACATGCTTTTAACTTTGTGGCTGTCTTTCATATGACAAAAGGCTAACTTTTTTTCGATATGTAGAATTATCAGTGTTCCCAAAACAAACTTTAAACCTACTGGAAATGTACTTTTTGAAAGTTTTTCATATGTGGGCAGTGTTCTGAGGCAATGCAGATGGCTAATTTTGCAAATGCGAATGACTAATTTAGTTGTGATACCTGCTATCCACTCTCCACAGCAGCTGATTTCAGTGATAAACACCACTTGTCTGGTTCAGTGAGTTCTATTCAGTGAAATCAGCTGGTGTGGTTTTTGGTTAGACTAAAATAAAACTTACAGGCAGACATTTGGAGAACAATTGAGGTTAGTTATATAAGCATCTGTCAGAGCAACCCAATTGCCAGAATAAAGGTTGGCATTGTACATTTCTGTGCACCACGGATATGTTGAAACTTTACATCTAAACAACGCTGTGGTTAGGTGTGCTTAGGTTTAAGCACAAAAACCACTTGGTGATGGTTAGGAAAAGATCATGGTTTGGCTAAAAATACCCAGTTTTGGTGCCCCAATCCCAGCTAGAAACATCCACATTTGGTGGCAAAAAAGCAGCTAAAAGCAAGCGATGACTTGCCAGAAAATAATCAGTTTTGCTATTTGTTGGTGTCAAACAGTGGTCTGTAGCTTAGCAGGCGTCTTGCCTAGGTATCACGCCATCCACCATCCCCTCCGCCTTAAAGTCAGCTCATATACTGTGTCTCTTTAGAAAGGTTTATATGATACCTATGAAATACACAAATGTAACAGATCCGTGGTTTGCAGGAACGTACAATGCCAACATTTTCTCTGCATCTGGGCTTGACAGAAGCAGAGAATCTGAGTGTAACTTAACAAACAGAGCCAAAGAACCATGATTTTGGCCAGGTCCTGGAAGCCTTTAGGAAAAGAGAAAAAAGATACAGGAAATAATGTACCAAAATAATGTCAAGCTCTTTAGCAGTCTAACTGAGAAACCTCAAACAACCTTCCATCTGTAAAGCAGCCTGAGTCCTACTTGCCTGTAGCTGACTAGGTAAGGTAGTGGCCTGTCTTTTGACCTGCTAAGATGGTTTCATGTGTGACAATAGAGTGCTGCAGGAGTGATATTTTTTTGTAGACCAACCAAGAATTCAACATCCTCCTGGTTCTTTTGTCAAAAAGCCTGTGGGATTTCTCCATTGGATTTTCGGTTATTGCGGAAAATAAGCTCTGTGGCAAACAAACGTCTGTGTTCAGCGTCTCATTTAGCCACTTGTTAGCACTGACGTAAATGCTTCAAAATTCATGGGTGGGATATTTACTGACTATTTTGTTACAGAACAAAACCACAGACCTTATTTCAGACATCTAACCAAAAACGCACTTCGAGACAAACAGGAAGTGCTACAATCTTACTTCATTTGCAGGTTTTAGGACTCATTCCTGCACCACTCTATTGATTTAAACTAGTGCCAGTGTTAGGTGTCCATTTACATTAGTGAATAGATTTGTAACAGGATGTGGTCCTAAAGACCTGTACAACATTTTTCAATGTTTTCAAATCATTGCATGCCCATTAAATTGTGGGTAACCATAGCAACATAACTTTTGCTTGATACTGCCTTGCCAGATTATAAATTGCACTGAAATGGGCCTAACATTATAAACAAACCTTTAGAAATTTATATATGAATCGAGCATGTTCTTTTTTTTTTAGTTTGTGAGTGGCCATTGGATACATGTGATGATGAAAACCGAAGTTTCCTGATAAAGAAAACAATAAACTCCAGAGGGAAACTCGTCTATTAACTGTTTCCTTATAGGTTTGGTGTATGGTATATCAGTAGACTCAATCATGTATTATTGTTTCTTTGGAAATTATGGTGAGCGTTACCTTACTTCCCTTCTGAAAACCTGGTTCTTTGGCTTAACCAACTGATGTTGAATTCAACCAGTGAGATCATATCTGCACTCTGCCTCTGACAAATGTAGATTAGAGATAGGTTAGTTGTTACTTTCACCTTTCTGTAATGGCTCATGGTTGTCAGCCCCACCTAGTCCCATTCTGAAGTTGTGAAATACCGCCGCTTGGTCATTCATTTTGGCATCAGACAAAGACGAGAAAAAAAAGCCACCCTTTCGCAGCAGCATTATACGCCATTGGGCGGCGTCAGTTAATGCCACCAAACAGTGTCAGTTTGAAATGCCACCATGTCATTTAAGGACCTAGAAATTCCCTGTAGATTGGGATGGGTCCAATAACGGCGGACTTTCATCTAGCAGGCCAGTGTTTGCTTCCCATAGGAACGTAGAGCCAAACCATGATGTTTTTTTCTAAACCTATCCATGTGCTTTTGTTGTACAATGAAATAAACATAATACAAGGTGTTTACCAACATTGTAAGTTTATTTTTAAAAGGACTAGCAGACAAGCAGAAAATGTATATTACCTGTGAAAAAGGAAATTGACATGACGTCCCAGAATGTAAATGTCAGGATTCCTAGCGCATAGAATGTAGATATGAAAGTCCACTGACCAAGCGGTGATATGTGACAAGTTGGGAGTGAGAATGTGTCGGTCAGCCATCCACATTTAAAGCTGATAGTCAATGATCTGTAGGGAAACTGAGTGACAGTGAGGGCTAACTTAAGCCACCTAGTTGCCTCAATATAGTTCTTACAAACTTCTGTAATCTAAAATGAAATTATTGACTGATCTGATTTTGTCCCTGGGTGAGCTAAACCTTCGCAGCAGAACCTGGAGGCCAGATCGTGTCTTTGCTCCAACTTTGCCACGCCACAAAGTTCATACTTTTTTTTTCTTTCAACCATCACTTCATTTCTTTTCTCTTCCATTTCCTACTCCCTTTATTTTAATTAACCCGTCAAAGCCAGGCTGACAGACTCAACATACTCAAATGTTAACCCCCAGCAACACATCTGCATTCACTGATTCACTCTTTGGTAATAAACATCCTCAGCAGCAACACATCTGTTAGGCCTTTTCCTGGTAATGGAGCAGTCAAGATGCTCGTTGACGCTTCCTGGCAAAAAGTTCAGTCATATCCCAGCTCACATCTTGAGTGCTAGTTGTCCTATGGATCTTAATGTTCTAGTGCTATCTCTCACCACTGCAATTTCTCTCCTCTAAGACAGATTGTGCAATTGAAAACCAGGGAGATCTAAACCTTGATGAAATGGATAAAGAAAACTATACGTCTTTTTTTCTTAGACTTTTTTCTTCTTTCTTTTCTTTTTTTGTTGTTGTTTGTTTTCTCTCTTCCCTCTCTTTCTCATGCTTTCCGGCGGGGACGTGCGGCCCTTGGCCTTAGTGGTAATAGGTAGGGGACAAATAACAACGCCGTACATTCTAGTCATCCCAAGCGAAGGTGATTATTGCTTTATAGGCAGAATATTTTCTTCCCTATGTTATATTTTTTCATCACGGTACAACCATAAACACAACACGAACCCTGTTTCATTTCGGTTGTCCCCTGCCCTCCCCTCCTTCTCCTGCTCCCTTTTGTTTCTTAACTTTTCTCCTTTTTTTTACTCTTTGGTTTTTGTCTTTCCTTCTCATCGCCATCTTACTGCATTTGTTTGCATGTCTGCTCCGCTTCGAGTGTCGCTGGCTGTGTTTGAACGTCTGCTCTCTCTGTCTCGCACACACACACACACACACACACACACACACACACACACACACACACACACACACACAGATGCACAGCAGTGAAACCATGCTGCTTTCATGCACAATCAATAACCAGGGTATGAGGACAGTAAGCTAACATTAGACTTTCTTATGAAAGGGAATGACTGAAAATCTATTTTTAAAAAAAGGAAGACAGCCATGAACTAAATTTATCTGTTCATTTTTATTGCTCTGTCTGATAAAAATCTGAATTAAGTTACACTACATAAGTTATAGCACATAATACGAATAAGTTATTACTGTAAGCATGGTTTCAATTCTTACATGTACGTCATTAATTTAGTGAGTGATTTGACAGAAACAGATGCATATGGTGGATGGAACAACAGTGGATGATGGCGATTCTCTTTCAGTAGCATTCATGATTACAT